GGCATCTAGCCTGGGTGAAGGTTAAGGCAGGCTTGAGATTAAAGGGTAGAAAGAAAACGAACGGCAAACTAGCTGTGTGCTTTTTGGAGTATTTCTGAATCCCAGTTGAGAAGTTTGTGCCCAGAGGTGATTCTACTTTGGGGAATCTACCCTAAAGAAACAATAGCTATGTGCACACATGTTCATTCTCAAGGAAAAGAATGTTCACCTGGCTTAACCCTGCACCAAAGAGTCGAGGCTCTTTGCCTCCATCTGATCTTCTGATTGGGTTCTAAGCCTTCTCTGATCCCTTTCTCTTTTTATCTGTACTGGTTGGAATGGAATCCCAGGCAGGAACAGTTCCCTCTTTCCCCATAGACCTAATCTTTGGATTTTCCCCGAGGTGGATATGGCTCCAGGATGCCCCCTTACAAAGCTGCTTTGCAGGTGGGACTAGCAAGGACCAGCCCAAGTACGTGAACTCTGGAACCGGGCTTGTCCTTTGAATTGCAGCATACCTAGGAGGCAGGTGTGCAGAGAATGCAATTTGGCACCTTTTGAGCTCATCCGGGTGTGTCTGGACACACATGAGCACTTCTCATCTCTTTTCTGCTCTGCCTCTCCCTTTCCTCTCTCTGATCCTTCCTGAGAAGCCTAGGACACAGCACCCACTCTTCAAGGGAAGAGTTTTGGTTGTTTTTTGTTTTGTTTTGCAAAGCCAGGAGTGCTGCCCCCCAGCTCTTTATATTTTATTTTGGGACTGGGTCTTACAAATGTCCAGGTTGGCCTTGAACTTGCAAACCTCCTGCCTCAGCCTCCTGAGTCCCTGGAATTACAGAATCTCTGGGATTATAGGTTGTGGCATCATCATACTTGGCTGGGAAGAGCTTTTTGTTGTGTGCTAGAAATTTTGAGGGGAGCCTAGGTGGGCTCCCAAGCCTCATTCTCTAAGGTGGCTTAGTTGGCCACATACTATAGATTCATTCATGTTCATTTTTAACCCTGGGATACCAAAAAATCTTAAGTCTCTTACTCTTCTTCTCTTCTCTTTTTGGTATTAGGGATTGAACCCAGGGGCACCTAACCACTAAGCCACATCCCCAGCCCTTTTTTATATTTTATTTTGAGACAGGGTCTTGCTAAGTTGTTTAGGGCCTCACTAAGTTGCTAAGGCTGGCTTTGAAACACACAATTCTTCTGCCTCAGCCTCCCGAGCCACTGGGTCTTATTTTCTTTCTTTTTTTTTTTTTTTAAAGAGAGAGTGAGAGAGGAGAGAGAGAGAGAGAGAATTTTTTTTAAAGAGAGTGAGAGAGAGAGAGAGAGAGAGAGAGAATTTTTAATATTTATTTTTTTTAGTTCTCGGCAGACACAACATCTTTGTTGGTATGTGGTGCTGAGGATCGAACCCGGGCCGCACGCATGCCAGGCGAGCACGCTACCGCTTGAGCCACATCCCCAGCCCCATGGGTCTTATTTTCTTAATGGCTATATTGATTATACTGATTCACAAACCAGTCAGTTCACCTGAAGTGTACAATTCATTGGTTTTTAGTGTATTTGTATATTTGGTATATTTTGTAGTTGTACTTTCACCACTACAATCAATGCTATGACCCCAGACAGAAACCCTGTATCAATTAGTTGTCCCTCCCTCTTTACCTCCCAGGCCTTGGCAACTAGTAATCTTTGTTTTTATGGATTTACCCATTGGGGAGAATTCATATAAGTGGAGTCATATAATATGTGGTCTTTTGTGTCTGACTTCTTTCACTTAGCAATATGTTTTCAAGATTTATCCATGTTATTAGGGTACGTCTTTCTTTTTATAACCAAATACTATTGATGAAGCCAGACACATACACCTGTAATCCCAGTAATTTGGAAGCCTTAGGTAGGAGGATGCCAAGTTCAAAGCCAGTCTCAACAATTTAGGCCCTGAGCAACTTAGTGAGACCTTGTTTCTAAATAAAACATAAAAAGGGCTGGGGATGTGGTGAAGTGTCCCTGGGTTCAATCCCTAGTATAAAAAACCAACCAACCAAAAAATAATAATTGAGTATACCAGATTTGTTAATCTATTAATTCATTAATGGACATTCAGGTTGTTCTCACTTTGGGCTGTGATAAGGAATGCTGCTACTGTAGACATTGACATACAAGTTTTTGTGTGAACATCTTTATTTCTCTTAGGTGTGAAGTTAGGAGTCAACTTCTGGGTTGTGTGGTTACTGTGTTTTAACTGTTTGGACTGTTTTCCAAAGTGACTGGACTGTTTTTCACCAGAAGTGCATGAGCGTTCAAATCCCTCTACATTTTTTTTTTTTTTAAGAGAGAGTGAGAGAGGATAGAGAAAGAGAGAGAGAATTTTTAATATTTATTTTTTAGTTCTC